AGCCCAGGCGGGCCCATCCACCCCCTGGAACTCAGGGGTTGACAAATATTGTAAGAGCTTCCTCGCTGGTGGGGAAAGGTGGTGCCTGTCCTTCTGTTGGCTGTTTCTCAGTGCCTCCCCTTCATGGCTGGTCGTCAGGGGAGGCCACCTCTATGCTCCTACCTCCGATGCCGCCTGTCATTGAGCCTTTGAAGTGGTGCCTGATTTTCCAGTCTGTCTGAAGTTGCTAGCTGCTTATGCAGCAGCTGGTCCAGAAAGTACCCCTGCCGGGCCTTTCCACGATGGTGCCAGCCGCCAGGGACTCCGGGAGACAGCCGCCGGGTCTCGGTGCGGGGGGAGGAGGCGGGCAGAGGAAGCCCACATGCCATCTCTGTCTCAGGGTCTTCTAGACTGATTTTGCTTATTTTTTGTTTAAAAGGATGGGGGGAAAAAAGAGTTTTCAAGAACCCCAATGTTTTATTCTCTTCAAAGAAAAAGGAATAAAGATTTTTAAAAAGAAAAAAACGAAGGACCAAAGGTAAAGCTTTTAAATTTCTTTGAACATTTATACTGCCGTGGCAGCCGCATGGGGGAAGGTGCTGGCCTGAGAATCTTTTCCTGGATGTTAATGTGCTGTGTGACCTTGGGCAAGTCACTTCTCTCTGGTAGTCAGATCCCTAATGAGGATTTGACTGGTTCTGTCCCACTCCACATTTGGGGACCTTCTCACAGACCATGCTGTTTGTTTTCCCTGAGACTCATTGCCATAGGCCCCCTCCTCCTTCTCCATATGAAAGCCTTCCTGAGCCCAGGAAATCAGAGAGGCAGGTGGAGGGACCTCTGGGGATCCGGTGAGCAGGATGATCCCTTAGACATGGGTGCACAAATCTCCATTTTGAGGATGTCACAGCTGGAGATCAGAGGGGTTAAGTGGCTTGCCCAAGCTCACACAGCGGGGGAGTCCATGGTAGAAGCGGAATTGACTCCGTGTCTTTTAACTCCCCAGCCTCATTAAGCTGCCAGAGGAGGTTTCCTGAAACCAGGGGCCAAGTTTATGTGGCTTACATTTTTCACCTGAGGCTCTTGAGAGTGGAATTTAAGGGTGAGAGCTTGGGGTCAAACAGAACTTGGTCTTGCATCGGCTGCTCTGTTTGTGTGAACTTAGGCAATCGATTTCACATCTCTGAGTCTCAGTTTCCCTAACTGTAAAATGGGGCTATTCCTTAGGCCTCCTTTATGTGTAGCTGTGAGGGCAGAGGAGAGGATGCATGTGAAGTGCTCAGTGCAGAGCCTGGAACGCATGAGCCCTAAGTGCCGACAGCTACTCTGGCGAGCCTTTAGCGTGGGGCTGGAGCTTTATCTGCTTTCTTCGTCAAGCACTTGGAGAAAGAGGGCACACTGGGCCAGTCTCCGGGGCCTGGCTGTCACGCCTGCCTTTCACGCCATACCCCCTCCCACCAGAGCCCCTTCCTGGGAGACACAGGCAGCCCGTGGCAGGCTGTGTAGGAAATGTCAACCTCGTCTCATGGAGAGGCCTCTGCTGGCACTGATGAGACCCCTGGCAGGTGGAGTGGGCAGGGAGCGGCCCAGGGCCTAGCCTCGCTCCCCCCTGGGCCTGGCCTTTCTTGGTCTCCCTGTCACGGCTGTGGCTCCAGCCCCAGGAGGCCACCCCGAAGGTTGCCTGGGGCTGGGGAGCCATCATTCCAGGGGTCAGGCTTAACTGGAGCTGGTGGGTGGGCAGCTGGGTGGGCTTAGCTTCGAGCCAGGGGTGCAGGGGCAGGTGGCCAGTAGGTATGGGCACAGGGTTCAGATACAGAATGAACTGGGTTGGAATCCTGATCCTGACTCTACCACTCCCTAGCCGTGCGACCTGGGGCAAGCCAAGTCACCTCTCTCAACTCAGGCTCTTTGGCTGAAAATGAGGACAGGACTCACGCTCTCCACAGGACTGTCGGAAGACTGGAGAACCGCCAGCCCCTGACACATACAGTAGGAACATCATGAGTGGGAGGTGCTAGGGAGGTTGTTATGCTCTTGCTCTCACAGGTGGGCATGGGGCTCTTCATTCGCACATTATTCAATGAGGCATTATTGCAAATTCTGTAATTTGCCTGCCCAGTCCCAGGGACCAGCAAGACATCAGTGAACACAGAAAAGATCCCTGCCCTCATGGAGTTGACGTGCTAGTGGGAGAGGGTGTGGGAGATCAGAGGCTCAGAGAGGACAAGGGATAGGGCTGGGGAGCAGCAGGGAGCAGAGGAAAGAACACGGAACCCCTGTGTTCAAATTCCGACTCAGCCACTAACTTGCTGTGTGACTTCAGAAGAAGCACTTCCCCTCTCTGAGCTTTAGTTTCCACATTTGCAAAATGAGATTAATCACCCAGCCTTGCATCACCGAGAGATGAGTCTCCATCAAAACAGTCTTGGGAGGGCACTAGGGAGACCAGTTTCCTCTCTCTGTGCAGCTTCCCCACCCTGAGAATCAGGGCTGGGCAACTATCAGAAGATGTCACCTGTGACTCTTCTACTCAGCCTGGATGCTCCAGCCCAGGAAACCCTGAAGCCATGAACCTGGAAGCAGATGTTCCACTTTCTCAAGTCTGGCCCTAGGGTGGGAACAGGAGCTCTGCACGTCTCCTCCAGCCCTAGACCCTCCATGCTGGGACCCCTCCTTGAAATCTGGTTTCTTCTAGTCACCCTCAGGGTAGGATTCTGGGGATCCAGAAGGCCATGCTACTGGAAAAGACCAGTGACATTCATTCATTCATTCGTTATCAATCAGTTGGTCTGTCAACAGACACTCATCCAGCATTTACCATGTGGCAACCCCATGTTAGGCACAGGAGATCAGGAATGTATCAATTCTTTAGCAAATATCAAGCACCTCCTCTGTTTCAGGCTCTGTGCCTGGCACTGAGGACAAAGTGATTAATTGATTTAATGTTTAGAGATGACTGCCATGTGCTCGAGACTGAGGGCCAAATACTGAGGTCCTACTCTGTGCCAAGGACTCTGATGGGTACAGGGGACAAAGAGACCCTTGGTCCCTGAATACCAGCTCTGAATGAGGCACCACACGCCTGGGAGAACAGTGCTGACGTTTTGTGGGCGGACATGAAACCCAGCATCTCCCTGTGGCTAATCATCGGGCTCACAAGAGAAGTGCGAACAGACCCCCTTGTCCATGAATTTGCTAATTGAGCTCCTCGAACTCAGGCATTAACCTGCATTACCATAAATACTGCGGAGAACAGCCATTCACAATTGATGCTCAGTGGTAATGGAGAAAATCAGTAGAGGAATAAAGCTGAAATGGAATCATAAAACCTTATTTTCACCATTAATTTGAACCTAGTCTTCCCCAAATACCTTTCAATAAATCTTTCTGTAAGACTCGAGGGCTGGAGAGAGGAGGGTAGGGCTGAGTGAAGGGAGAGGCTGTGCCGTGGAGGCTGGGGGCTGAGCTGGGTCTGGAGGGCTGGAGGGGGTTCCTGGCTCACTGGCTGCCTGCTCTGCCTCACTGGGGGCAGCCAGCCCTGAGTCAGGGCCAAGCGAGGTGGCTTTTGGTGAAGAGTGAACCCAGCTCCACACATGGAGAGAAGTGGGGATGGGGAATAACAAGGTGGATAGACAGGCAGACAGATAGGAAGGCAGGACAGACTGACCGCCAGGGAGACAGAGGAAAACACACAAACTCAAAGACAGATGGACAGCCAGGCTGACCAGTAAAAGGATAGTTAACAGACAGACTGACAGACTGTTGTGATGACAGACAGCAGGTAGACTGAGAAACGGGAGGCCAGTCTGTCCATTGGGAGGCCAGTCAGACTTAATGGGAAAAGAGAGGAAGACCCACAGAAATACAGACTGACAGTCTCACCCACAAGGAGGCTTCCAACCGACAGACAGACTGACAGAATCACAGGCAGACAGACAGGCATAGTGATAGTCCAGAAGCAGATCAAAGGAGAGGTAGGCAGCCAGTCTACCCTTTCAGAGGATAGATGGACAGATGGACGGAGGGGAACAGAGACTGGAGTTGGGGCAGAGGCTGGGGTCTCTGTGCGTCCCTAGGTGTGTTTAGGGGTAAGGGGGGAGCTTGAAGAAGAGGCCTGGTGGACGCCTTCCCATTGCGTGTCAAGCCCCTTGCGTGAGGGAGACTGGCGTGCGGGGTGCTCCCCTGGGCCCCAGGCTTCCTGGCTGCTTCCCTGCCTTCTCCTCCTCACAGCCACGTGCACTGTCTTGCACGCAATGCAGGGAGGCTCAGAGCCGCTGCTGAGGGCTGCTCCATGGTTGGGGGCTGGGGGCAGCTCCTGGAGCCCTCTGTGGGTCACCTGTACCCAGGGGTCTATGGGGGATTCAGACCCAGTGAAAGGTCCTAGCCCTGAAAGCACGGGGGACGGGAAGCCTTGGAGGCAGCCTCAGCCCTGCTGCTCTTCTGCCTCATTTGCACCCTGTAGCCCCAGCCACGGCTCTCTGTGGAAGGTTCTGTTGTCCCCATCTCACAGAGGAGCCAACAGGGGCTCAGAGAGGGGCAGTGCTCAGGCCCAGCGCTCTCAGCATGAGGGTGATGGGATCTTTCCTTCTGGGAGCCAGGCTGCCCACAGGAAGCCCATGTGTTTCCCTGCTCCCCTGTGGTTGGTCAGTGGCCTTGTGGCTGTGCGGTGAGCCTGTCGGACCCTGGGATTCACCATAGGAAAACTACTAGTCCTCAGATGCCAGCCCCATCGTCCAGCACCAGCTTTTCCAGGGATCGAGATGCCTTTGGCCTCCATCTGAGGGACTCCCACCTGTGTCAGTCAGCTGCAAAGTCAGGCCAGGCAAATTCCCAATAACTGGGGTCTGGTCCAGCAGAATCTCTGTTGCTTGTCCCCCCCCCCACCCCTGGTGACATGGCTGGTGGAGAGAAACTGGGGGCTTCTCTGAGGCGTGCCCTGCTCCTCCATGAGTGGGCCTCAACTCCAACCATCTTGGTTTTCACCCATGTCTTGTTTTGATCATTAACACTCAGGCTGGGAAATGCTTCTGTTCATCAACACAGTGATAGTAGTGCAGTACAGCAGCGGCAGGATTACTACTGGTACTACCAGCAGCGGCAGGATTATTACTAGTGCTACCAGCAGCAGCAGCATTAGTACTAGTAGCAGCGGCAGCGTTACTACTGGTACTACCAGCAGTGGCAGGATTACTACTAGTACTACCAGCAGTGGCAACATTACTACTGGTACTACCAGCAGCAGCAGCATTACTACTGGTACTACCAGCAGTGGCAGGATTACTACTAGTACTACCAGCAGTGGCAACATTACTACTGGTACTACCAGCAGCAGCAGCATTACTACTGGTACTACCAGCAGTGGCAGGATTACTACTAGTACTACCAGCAGTGGCAACATTACTACTGGTACTACCAGCAGCAGCAGCATTACTACTGGTACTACCAGCAGTGGCAGGATTACTACTAGTACTACCAGCAGTGGCAGCATTAGTACTAGTAGCAGCAGCAGCATTACTACTGGTACTACCAGCAGCGGCAGCGTTACTACTAGTACTACTACCAGCGACAGCATTACTACTAGTACTACCAGCAGTGGCCGCATTAGTACTAGTAGCAGCGGCAGCGTTACTACTGGTGCTACCAGCAGCGGCAGCATTACTACTGGTACTACCAGCAGCGGCAGTGTTACTACTAGTGCTACTACCAGTGGCAGCATTAGTACTACTACCAGTGGCAGCGTTACTACTAGTACTAGTAGCAGCGGCAGCGTTAGTACTAGTAGCAGCAGCAGTGTTACTACCAGTACTACTACCAGCGGCAGCATTAGTACTACTACCACCAGCAGCGTTACTACTAGTACTAGTAGCAGCGGCAGCGTTAGTACTAGTACTACTACCAGCGGCAGGATTACTACTAGTATTAGTAGTAGTGGCGGTGGCAGTGTTACTACTACCACTACTCCAGCAGCAGCAGTAACAACAATGACCATTTGTTGAGCATTAACCAAGAGAAAATAAACTATGTTGCAAGCCCTGGATGTATGAACTCACCTCACAGTGGCTCTGTGAGGCGGGCATCTTCCTCAGTTTACTGGAGGAGAAGCCAAAGCTTATGTGGCTTCTCTAAGGTCTCAGGGAAAGAGGCAGAGCCAGGATCTAGACTCTGGTCTGACCCCAAGTCTGGGCTTGTTTCGCTGCCCCGGGCTGTCTGAGAGGGGCAGCTGGAGGTCGGTGGAGCTTCTGAGAGCTGTGGCTGGGCCGTGGGGAGCACAGGAGGTGGGGACGGTGATGACAGATGGTGGGGCAGGGCGGGTCGGAGAACCTGCAGAGCCGGGAGGCCTTGGTGACTTGCAGGCAGCTTCCTCCACTGCCCTGGGTTGCTGCGGGTGAGAAACACTGTCCCGTCCCTCATGAAAGAAACATCAGTGTTAATCGGATCAGGCCCCACACTCTGGGCTGGGTGCCTCATCCATTTTTAATTTATTTCTTCCTTAAAACTCAACCCAAGGGGAGGAGGAGGGGAGGGAGCTGAGAGAAGGCTGTGGGGAGACATGAGGGAGAAGGTAAGAATTCTACACCTTCTGGATTGGTCAGGTTAACAGCACATGGTATCACATGCCTGGGTATCATTTCAGCCCAATTATTTGCTAGGCACGGGACCATGAACAAGTCACCTCCCCTCTCTGGGCCTCAGTTTCCTTATCTGTAACATGAGGCTAATGATATATATGCCCCTGCATTGTGGCAAGCAAGTGATAGGTGTTCAATAAATGGTAACCATTGTGCCTAAGGGCAGGTCTGTTGTCATGAAGACCCTAGAAAAACTGAGTGTTTTGTCTTTCTCACTTTTGGGAAGCTCTTCTCTTCCTGAAGTCTCCAGTGTGTGGTCCCAGGAAGAGCTAGCCCGAGTCTCTTTCCCAGAACAGTCCCTCCAGGATCTGAAGACAATGATTGGTGACACTCCCCTTGCTATGACTCCCAGATCACCTCCACCATGGTATACTCTCATGGACACGCTCAAGGGCCTGTTTTTTTTTTCCTTCAGCTCAGTCCAGCAAATATCAATGAACCAGGACCTTGGCTGCATCAGCCATACCCCACCTTTGAGAAGCTCCATGAGGAGGGGTTAGGCAAGAAAAGAGGCAAGGCTTTAGACATGGCAGGCCAGCATGGTGCATGGCAGGAAAATCACCTCCCCTGACCATGACTTTGTGCTTCCAATAATTCAGCGTCAGGTCCTCCCAAAGTCCAGAGGTGACCCCAGATCAGGCGTTGGAGGCAGATGCCGGACGTGCAGCTTCAGCACCAAGGATAGCTCCACACCATTGTGCGGCTGCACCACTTTCCCCCTGGATTTGAGGCTCAAGGGAGTCTGGGGAAGATGACTACTTAGCCCTTGAAGAGTTGGTTATAGGCTGACAGACCGTGTCATCTGGTCACAGGGTGGAAGAGCTGAATAATTGTTGGATGAATAATTGGTTGTCTTCATTTCAGACAGGACAAGAGGTGAATTTATGAAGCAAAAGCTCAGAAAATTAGGGGACCTCGGGGGAAAGCAATTAGGACCTGAAGTTGTAGGCAAGAGTCTTAACTTGTCTGAACCTCAGTTTCTCCAGCTGTGAAAGGATGGGAAGAAGAATGGATACACACACACACACACACACACAATCTTTCTGAGGCTGGACCTTTCTTTTTTTAAAAGATTTTATTTATTTGACAGAGAGAGAGAGAGCACACACAAGCAGAGGGAACAGCAGGCAGAGGGAGAGGGAGAAGCAGGCTCCCTGCTCCATGGAAGAGGGAGCCCGATGCAGGACTCCATCCCAGAACCCTGGGATCATGACTTGAACTGAAGGCAGACGCTTAACTGACTGAGCCACCCAGGTGCCCCGAGTCTTGATCTTTCTTAAGGATAGAGCCAGAAGTGTCTCCCTGGCTTGGGAGGGATGCTGGGAGTATCTCAGGGTTAAGCAGGACTCTGGGGCTCTGCTCTGCATCTGCAGTTAAAAGTTCCATGTCCAGAATGTCGCCTTGAGGATCCTTACACTGAGGCAAAATGACTCTTATTTTGAGCATCTTGACAGACATTCAATTCTGTCACTGGGAGAGAGACTGGGGGAGGGAGGGAATCAGAGGTGACCATCTGGGCTTGGCACACGAAAACATACACACATGCTCCTACCTGCTTCTACAAACAGGCACAACATTCATATACTAAGTCACACTCTGGCTCATGTTACAATCATGGAAATGTTTATGCACTTCACACATACACGTACAATCATATGTACAATAATATACTTACACCAGTCACACACATTTGTGTGTTTTATATATGTTAGTCACTGAATTCTACATACAAAAACACATCCAGTAATGTCAGCCACCCTCACCTTCATTGTATATGCTTAGCCATCGCAGTCATACTCAGACACATGTACATACAATCACATACCAACAGTCACACACACTTGGAGATAATGTCACATGTGCCCTTTTGTAAAGTCTCATGTCACCAAATGCACAAAAATGTCCACACAACCCCTTGTGGTCATCCACTTATATTGAAGCACAAATCTGCAGCAATGGACCCCATTCCACTACTCCATCATTCATCCCCTTTGACCAGTGGGTCTCAGATGCTTTCTCCCAGGAGCAACTGTCCAGAAGACAGATACAGGTGTGAACTGCTGGGTCATTCCTGAGCTCAGGACAAAGCTGACATCCTTAACCACTGCCTTTAGCATACCCCACCATTAGTGCTCCCCAGGGAGTCAGGCTGACATGCGTTCAAATCCTGATCCACTACTCACCAGCTGTGTAACATGGAGCATGTTACATAACCTCTCAATGCCTCAGTTTCCTTACTAATGAAAAGGGGATAGTAATGGTAACACTCTCATAAAGTTGTTGTGAGGACTGGAAAGTGTAATGCATGGAGAGCACTTGTCACTGTGTCTGGTATATGAAAAAAGTGCAGTAAATAGTGATTCATTATTATTAATAACAGTAAGCTACCCACATAGGCTCCCATTACATGCCACACAGACAGCCTTTTCTTCACGGTCTCTTTCATAGGAGTATATGTTTGTGTTGGGGGGGTGGTAATTACATTCAGCATCCAAAAACAATGTCAGCATTGGGAAGGAGGGGGCTGCACCTGGACTCCTCTACCCTCACTGCCCTGTTCTCAGCCCTTGGGTCACCTTGGCCATGCCTCCTCTTGAACTTTTCTCCTGATGGTTCCAGATGCCTTCACCTGAGTCTCTACATTTACCCAAGATCCCCAGGCCCCCTTCTCCTTCCTTTGGGTTCCTACCATATCAAAGCAGAAAGGTGGTTTCTGGTTTATTTTGGTTTATTTTACATTTGATACTGGACCCCTCATTTTTGGTATTCAGAGAGAAGCTCTTGTGCTAATCTCTCCACTCTAAATGCTCATCACATTTCTCTTAAAGCCACAGGAGCTCCCCCTATTCCCATCTTTTATTCATCACCTTCCCACCAGCCCTAACACAGGAGATGTGGAAATGCAAACTCTCCAAGGACTGCAAATTTCACACCAGCAACTGACCCTTCCCCAGCAGCCTAGGGTTGGGAGATGGAGGTGTCCCTAATGAGGTACCTGAGCAATGGGGATGGAATGTGAGAGGTGGTGGCCCATGGGCCCAGGTCATCACCCCGTGGGTGAAGTGAGAGATAGAGAAACCACAGTGAGGAGACTGTCCTGGGTTCTGGGGCTCTCCACAACTTCCCGCTTCTAAAACTTCACCCACACATCAACAGCCTTGCCCTTACACCATCCCAGAGATACCCAGCCGCCCTCCTCCTGCTATAGTGACCAACACCAGGCACTGTCTCTCTTTCTTACCTTCATATTATCCTCTAAACCTCATGACAAGCTTGTGCAGTGAGTATAAGTACAGACCTCATGTTACAGGTGATGAGTGATGAAATGAGGCTCAACAAGGCAAGTGACATGCTCAAAGTCACATGGAAGGGAAGGAGGAAGAAACTGACCCCACAACAGGGCAGATACCAAGGGCCCCAGGAAGGATTATTTGCCTGTGCCTTTATTAGTCACCGAATCCTTACCATGAGCCAGACCTGGGCTGGGCACTGGGGTTCTCGGGCTAAATAGGGACAGTTTTGACTTTAATCAGTCCACAGTGAAGATGGGAGATCTATCACAGTGCAATATAAGTGCTTTAATGAGGAAGCCTGGTCTGTGGGATCTCAAAGAAGGGAGAAACCCAAACCTAAATTAGGGAGAGGCCTCAGAGGTTGAGAGCTGAAGCATGAGTAAGAATTACACAGGGTGAGAAGGGAGAGGAGGAACATTCCTCTAGTGGAAAATGCACATGGTGCAGTCATGGAAGAGGGCTGAGAGTATTTATGGGTCTGCAGGTACTTCTTCCTGGCTGGAAGTTCCTCTGTGGGTTTGCTGGGGAGTAAGAGCAGGGGATGAGACAAAAAACATGGGTGGCACCAGGCCAAAAGTTTTGCTTGGTATCTTGGATTACCCCTTTCCATGCTTCCTCCAACCCCCAACCATATTATCTATTCTCCTCTCCCAGCGACCTCATTCATCATGGAGGTGAGAAGGTTTGGCTGGCTTTGCCCACACTGAGGGCTCAGAGAATTGTTCTTCCAGGGGGCTTTTGTGTTTTCTCAGGGAAGTCCAAAGACAGCAAGTCTTGCTTCAAAGAGATGAGATCCTAATGGTGAAAATCTAGGCATTGTGTTTGATTAAAAGCTAAAGCATCCATCTGCCTGAGGATTTCCTGTTGCTTCTCAAACCACTCCTCTGGGAATTTGTTTCCCTTCTGCAGGTGGTGCCTAGAAGGGCACTCAAGAGCCAGGTGGTGGAAGAGTATGGTGGAAGAGCTGCATTGGGGGAGGAGGACTTTCTTTAAATGCTAACTATAAGAAATTAGGTAGAGAATTTCATACCCAGACTATGCCTCTGATGCTGTGTGAACTTGGGTGAGCCTTTT